CCCGGCCACCCCCCACCGCCGCCGCCGCCACCCCCTTCCAAACTGAGAAGGATTTGTCTCCGCTTAATATCCAAACCTTTTTTGTATTTATTTTTTTCAGGGGCGAAGTAATATCTTCCAAATGAGGCAAAACCGTGACGGATCCGAAGCGTTCTCTGCGGGTGCCTGCGTCTCAGTGCGCCGAGGCTTCCGTCTCCGCTTCGGCGCTTTTCTGCCCAAGGCTCGCTCTCCGCTCTTTCTCCCTCGGAATTTCTAGTCGTGTCTCTCTCCCTGAGTAGCGCGCTCTCTGACTACGTTTCCAGCCCTGGCTGTCGCTCCCCCATCTCTCCTTGTCTGTCTCTCTAGCTTCCCTCCTTCTTCCTCTGTTCCTGCGAAGTCTGTCTGTCTGCCTGTCCCCAAGTCTCCGGCTTCCTGCAAACTTTCGGATCCTCCTAGTGAGTTCAGGACTGCAGGACGCTAGAGGACTGCAGGAAGCTGGAGGACTGCAGGACAGGGACTGCGGTCCCGGTCCACCCCACCTCGGCGGTCCCTGCGCCCCTCCCAAATCGGTCGTGCCAGCCCCACCAGCTCGCACCTGGTCTCCCCGGCCCGCGCCGCTGCTGCAGCTGCCATCTAGCTAGCCGAGGACGAGGCTTGAGTTTTAAAGCGCGTTTCCCGGGCGTCCGACGCGAGCCCGCGGGCTCCCCAATGGCCCTGGTGGCTGCCAATCATGTGCTGCTCCCGCCCCCGCCCCTCCCCGCTTTACTAGTGCTGCGGCGCAACTCTAGGCCCGGGTCAGACAGTCTGTGGATCTGTGACCTGCCCGAGTGCATCAATTTCCCGTCTTTAGCTCCCGGTCCCCGGATCTCTGCCTCTCTCGCGCCTGCCCCTGGGCGATGACAGGTCCTGAGAAACTTCCGGCTCCCTAGTCTCCCCTAGAGCTTGACCTCTTGGGTGTGTTTCAGTGGCTTGGGAGCACACCAGCTTGCTCCCACCCCTGAAATCCCTTAAAGGTTGCTTTTGAGCTGCGCGCACGAGCGCGCGCGCGCGCGTGTACACACACACACACACACATATACACATACACACACATTCTCCCTATCTGTCCCACTGTTACCTCCGCACCACAACACCAGGCTACAACCCGCACTTACAACTTACCGTCCACCCTCAGCCTAGACAGGGTATCTGCTGCTAGCAGCAGCAGCAACTCACCTGTCCCGCAGCAGGTGCCCCCTCTTTGTCTGAGAGGCTGGAAGGCAGATTCAACACAACATGCGCACCTGTCCTGGAGAAGGAGACTGACACATGCACCTGGCCCACATAGGAAAATCCCAAGGAGCAGGGGTTCTCCAGATCCTGCCAGCGCCCTGCTCCCTCCAGGAGCAACCGGTTCACAGGAAGCAGAGATTCTGCAGCCTTCTCAGTCTGAGCTAGGCCCACCTTCCAGAAGGTGTGTGTCTGAGGTGTGAGCAAAGGGTACAGGTTAGTACCCACATTGCTAACGGGTGTGGGCAGCTGATTACTATGTGGCAGCTCTGTGCATGTGGCTGTGTGGAGCTCACCTGAGAGCCTCCTGGCTAAGTGTGTGTTCTGGGAGGTGTCTGTGTGTGTCAGACTCTGTGCAACCTCTCATTGGCCTCAGTGGCTGTAACTATGATTTACATGTGGAGTGTGTCCTTGTGACTGGTGCTCTGTGACCATGAGTCCACGTATAACTAACTGTAGGGTTTCCTTTGTGTGTGTAACCAATCCTTTGCCATTTTCAGCTCAAGTGAGGTTGTAATCCAGGTGGCTGGTCACAGAGTGGGCACAAAATCTTATACTTGGGTTTAGGGGAGCTGGACCCTGGCTCTGGCACCCCTCTGATCTACAAGTGAAACTCTTAGCTCTAGCTCTTGGAAGCTGGGCTATTTTTTTAGAGGCTAAAGCATGGGGAGGAGGGATGTTGGCTAGCCATACTGCAGTGGATTTTAGAGTCCTGGGCTGAGTTGAGAGACTCAAGAATTTTGGCCTGAGTGGGGCAGATTGGAGGGTCAGATTGATCTTCAGCCAGAGGTAGGGGCTGTGTGCCTCATGGAGGGGCTGGCAGGGGAATGAGCCTCAGAATGGAAAGGAGGAGAAAGGAGGGGGGCAGTAAGAGGATTAGGCTGCTTAGACCCTTCTCTCCCACCAGGATCCCCCACCCCCACCCCAAATCTCCAAATAAGATTTTTTCTGCCAAAGCAAAACCATTTAGGCTCGATTTAAAGTGACAAGAAAGGTGGAGGCAGGGGGCTTTAAATAACCTTTTAATTTCTCTTTAGGGATCCTGGTCCTGTGAAGGCAGGGAGAGGAGAGGAGATTGGGGGGAGCTGCACCTTTGGCTTAGATAATCATGACTGCCATTGGACCTCCACACACCCTGGAGAAGGGAGGGAGACACTGCGCCTCCCCCAGCCACCCTCCACACTCAAGCAGACACACAGATCATCCTGGAGAAAACTATGGCCTGCTGTAGTCACGTACACTCAGTGACACAGACATGGGCACAGGCATACATGTGGAGGGGTCACACATACAGTCATGCAAATAGGGGGACCCTAAAATACCCTGCTGGTAGGACAGACGTGGAGTCCTAACCCTCCCTGCTTTGTGGTGCCAGGAGGGTTCGCTAGGAGGTGCCTTCCACCAAGAGGAATCTTGCTCCAGCTGAGACTTCCCTTCCAGTAGAAGGAAGTCTCATCTTTTTCTGCCCAGGGTCATCTCGGACAGGACAGGGATTTCTGGGAAGGCTGAAGGGTGATTATCCCTGTACGTGAATAGGCCACACTTGCCCAGAGTGGGGGGGGTCAGGGTGACTGAGGATAACACAGATTCTGCTGGATGACAGAGGACTATTGAGGACTCTGGGTGGTATTGCACAGAGCTCAATTAAGCACCTGCTCTTAGAAGGAACTTGTCTGCCGCATGGGCTCTAAATCCACCTGGAGAAACTCTTGCTTGCCTCTTATCCCAGGCTGCCAAGGTCCCCTTCAGTGCAAGCTGTCCCAGGACTGGATTTGGTGGCAGGTGGCCATATGCCCAGTCCTCATTATACATACCTGGTCTCATAAGACTTGGATTTTGTGGGGGGCTACTGGGGTTCAAACTCAGGTCCCTGCAGTTGCAAGGCAGGTGGCAGAACCACTGAGCTAAATCCCAGGCCCAAGACTTGGATTTCTGAACACCCAGAGAAACCCCACACTGCCAGGCAGACTCACTTTTGCAGGGGCGCACGGGTCTTCATCCAAGGAACACTGTGGACAGAGAGAGCCATCTTCACTCAGTGACGCATATCCCCAATTTCACAGATATCACAGCCCAGGGTTTGGGCTCTGGGTTGACTGTGGATTCTGGGGTGGGGGAACACAAAATCCTTGGCAAGCTCCATTAGTGGGATAGAAAGTCTTGGAGGAAACAGAGTAGGTCAGGAAAGGGGAATGTGTCCTTTAGGGAGGCCTGAGACATCAGGAAGTTTGCGCCACAACATGGGTAGGTTTTACTAGTCTAACAAAATCACTTCAAAAACACCACCATCTAGACATGAGCTAAGAAATGGAAATGGGTTGGGGGCTTCCTCCCAAGACTGCTCCTGGAGCCTTCCCACCCATCTGCCTGGGCCTGGGACTGAGATCTTCCAAGGACTTAAGAGAAAGATCCCCAGAGGAACTGGGGACCTGCCCCCATTAGACAGACCTGGGGGCTATGGTGGAGAGTGCAAGAAGCTATGCATTTCTGGATGTGTTTGCATATTTGTTTAAATTCATTGTCCTGTAATCTGTGTTTAAGATTATTTATATGTATGTATATGTATATATATATATATATATATATGTGTGTGTGTGTGTGTGTGTGTGTGTGTTCCTGTATTGTGTGTAAAGTGTGTCAGAGTTTATATGCGTGTGTGTGTGAATGCAGAGTGTGTTAATGTGGATTGTTTATAAATTCCTAACTGCAAGTGTATGTATGCTTATGTGTGTTTAGAGGATATTTTTACACTGGGGGTGTGGCCAAGGGATGACTTAATTCAGGAACTTGGGAAAGCCAGGTACTCACAGGTTTCCTTTTGGTCTGGCAACTCTAAGGATACTGGGTCCCAGTTTTCTTCACTGAAAGATCTGGGAAAGGATGTGTCTAAGAGCACTCCATTTCCGGTCTCTGAACTGGGTTTAGAGTAAGAATGCCAAGCTCGAGACCCCTACCCACCCCCAATACACACACACACACACACACACACACACAGGTACACTCGCTCCTCTGCTGCTCACAGCGCCACCCTTCCAGGCACCCCCACCCCACTCCCGCGAGCTGAACACCTGGTTGCCACCCAAGTGGGCTGGGGGTGGGGGCGGAGACACTGTCCCTTTCCTTCCCTCTCGCGGTACAGAGCTGTGGGTCCAAGTTCGAAGTTGGGTGGCGGGTGTCTCCTCAACCTACCCTCCCCCCTCCCGCTGGGGACAGTGGCTGGGTGGCGGGCGGCTTAGGGCTAATTCGGGAGTTAATGGTGGCTGCCCGGCCCCCTGCGGACCCCTCCACCGCCCACCCCTACCCCGGGGCCGGGCCTAGGGCCGCCCGCATCTGCGCCGTCCGGGGCGATTCATCATCTTGATCCATGGCGCGCGCTGACGGCAGCCCCGGCCGCGCTGACAAGACTAACAAAGCAATTTGCCACGAGCCATCTCCTGGACAGGTTATTAGCGCGGCCGCCGCTTAAAGAGCTCTCCCCACCCTTCACCCCACCCCCAATCCCAGCGCGGGGCAGCTACCTGCTCTGCCCCCTCCGTCCTGCAGGGAGCCCCTCACCACCAGAGATGTCCCTGCGGAATCTTGACTCTCTCCGACCACCCAAAAGCATACACACACACACACACACACACACACACTCTCTCTCTCTCTCTCTCTCTCTCTCTCTCACACATTCAGTTGACTACTCCCTTTCTCTTCCCCTAGATCAAGCTGCTACCTGCTCCACCTGCCTCTGGCCCCCAGCGCTCTCCAAATCCCCCAGCAACTCCTGGCCCCTTCCATCCCCCAACTTTCCTCCCAGTACTCCCTGAATTATCCCACTCACCTCCTCTGGAGCTTCCCTACACCCAGAGGTGTCCCCACTTCTGTCCTTCCTCCACTCCTTCCTTCTCTGCCTCCCCTCCCCCACGCAGGGATTGGAAACCCCTATTTATTCCCAGTTTGGAGGAGGCAGCTCCTCCTATAATGTGGTTGGGCATAGGGAGTTTCTTCTGACCACACTGCCTCCAGGTAGCCTTCCTGTGGGGAGAGTTCACCCAGTGCCAACAGGGGACTGCAGAGCTGAGCCTTGGGAGTGGTTTCTGGCAGGCTGTGGGCTGGAAGGTATGAAAGGAAGAAGCCTCCAAGGCTGCCCTGACCAGAGAGAGACGTGGTGAATCGGGTGACTCTTCCTGGCGGGAGGTCAGGAAATGTTGGGCCTCATGCAAATAGAGGTTCAGAAAAGTGCAGGAACCTGCTCAGGGACACTCAGGTAGATCAGAGCAGAGGAGAGATGGGCTCCAGGTTTGTGACCTCACAGGCCTGAGCGCCATGTCTAGCTACACCTTCTGGGAGAAGTAAGGGAGGCAAGACACCAGGGTGGCCCAAATGGACTCCCCTCCCATCCGATGGGTGGAGAGTGGCT